GAAAACAAAGAAAAAGGTTGATACATCAAGGACGATAAATGGGGAAAAGGTTGCCACCATGAAATTTTTGGATCAATGTATAACTATTTTGTTAACATTCAAAGAAAAAAAAAAGGTACTACTATTTTGTTGGAAAACAATTCTGCCTTTCTCACAGTGAATTATGTAGAAAGCCAACCGGCTTGCATCATTTCTTTTCAATTGTCCACCGAATAATGTTGTTTCAAAGTTGGAATGTTGTCTAGTTGATCATCTTGACATTGAGATGTATGAATTTGTAAAAAAAAAGAATTCAAGTTCTCACAAAAATGAATACTGTAACACATTATATGGACCTTCTATTTTTATGATTTCAAGTGATCACATGTCTCTTCAATCTGAACCATTTTTGGAGCTTTAAATTCTGTAATTATATGTGAAAATAGATTTTCAAGAAATTTAGGGATTCTCAGCACCAAAATTGCAACAAGATTTGAAGGTGCATCTTTCTTTGATTGTTTGAGGGTTGAGCCTTACATAAACGGCCACCCATATAAGTGTCCACCTTGCAGAAGTAAGGCACACCTCAAAAATCTTATTTTGTCTAAATGTGCACTAAGAAATACTTTTAAAGCAATATAGCTCAAAATACCTTAAACCAGAGAAAGCACACAAATCAGTGAACAACTCGCTCGAGATCATATCAAAGTCAAGAGTTTCTCATTGAAATATGGGTTCGAGAAGAATTCCAATATCGCTCATAAGCAACAGGTTTGTTTTATATTCATCTTTTCATACAGATAATAAAATATGTTATCATTGATGACGAGACACTTAAATTTTATAAACTTTGTATACAATGCATATGAGCAAAAGGCTGTTACTTTCTCTCTTTAGAATGACATAAGATTTTGCTTGAAGTCTGGGCTCGATCTCGGCGAATATTTCAGGAAATATCAGGATCTCTTCTTGTCAAAAGCTTTATCAAGATTCAAACCACAAATCTCTGAGGTTCATTCCTGCAAATCATGCTCAAGTGCTCTCTCTTTTGCCTTCCAAAAGATCCCCATTGGAGGGTGAAGGCTTTTGCGAAAGAAGTCTTCAATACTGGGAACACTTCTTCTCCAAATCTTTTAGAAATCTATCTCCATTAGAGACTGTAGGTTCTTGTATTCACAAGATCGACCAACAGTATTAGGAAAATTCACTGTGTATGGCATCTAAGTTTAGAAACAAGTAATCTTCATCAAAATACTCCTCTTTGGCAAGTCCTTAGTTTCCATCTTGGATGGATATGCCAACAAAATCCGCATATAGTGGTTCCGATTGCAAGCGAAATACTACACTATATCTTGCAAGGGATTCTATACCATGAGACCATTTATCTTTGTTAAAAGGAGGTGACAATTACTTGTATTTTGAGAGAGAGAGAGAGAAAGAAAGCCCAGCTTCAAAGGGAGGATTCGATCCCAAGACCTCGGCGCACAATAGAGCCCTCACAGTGAACTGTCAAAACTAGATTGAATGATGATGGAGTGAGTTAAGACTTCATGCATGTTCTTGTTTAGGTCCTATGAGGATATATAATAAGCTTGAATGAGGCTTTGGGAAAGAAAATGGTTGGTTGGGAAGTACACAACATGGGCTTGTGCTCTAGCGGTGAACTCTTGGATTTGATCCTTTTTGTTTGAGCTGTTATGGGCTAAGTTCGAGCATGGTAAGGCTGGTCCCAAAATCAAGGGGATTGTCTTACGATGTTATTGTGAGTGTTCTGAATTTAGAAGATATAGTAGGTAATAAGTTCAGGAATTATGGGAATGATATGTTGGAAAAAAATCTTTGCAAAACATATGATCAATAACATAAAATGGAAAGAAAAATCAGGAACTTGTTAGAAACACGAATGTTTTTGACAAGATATTTGATTTTAATGGCTACAAGTAATTGTGCCTTATGGCTTAACTTGGTGGCATATGTTCGTGGCTCACGGTGAATTCACCTCTTTTTTTATTTTATTTTTTATTTATCATTTCGAAGTGAATTCACCTTAACCGTCACAAACCTCTCTAAATTTCATGATTTTTAGAGATGTACTTGAAAGCATCATTATTAAGCCCCCCTCCAAGTTTGAACCCGTTTGGGTCCTGCCTGGATAATTCATTATAGGAGAGTTCACTGCGAAAGTACTACTCATAATATTGTAGCTTGCGGTGAACATGACAAAGCCTTTGATTTTGACTCCAATCCTCTTGAATTTTTTAGTACATTTATTTTTCATCATTTCAATGGTGTTCCCAATGTTATGGCTGACGCGGAAGTCGTTAATAAAACACCCCTAAACAAACTTACCAGCAAAGGTGGTTGTGATGGTAAAAAACCCTCTAATTGATCATCTCAATATCACGATGTACAAATATGGGGGAGAAAAGTTCGAGTCCTAGAGAATCATATCTTGCAGCACATTATTTGGACTATCTATTTTCAAGAATTTTAAGTGTTTATAGATTTGCTTGATATACACCATTTTTCTTTCTATATTTAATTTTGTAGTTAGGAGTAGATATAGATTTTCAAGCCATCATAGTAGTTTCTATTACCGGAATTGCATCTTCTTACAAGGTTTGGAGGTGCATCTTCTTTTGATTGTTTGAGGTTGACACTTTATATAAACTACACTACATGTGTGTGAAAGAAAAGTCGTTAGCGCCTCAAGGCTTGCATATGCTATTATGTGGGCTCTGGGATCCACACTATCCAATATTATTGCACTATGCAAATCACACAACAATCCCGTATCTCAATTTTAGGGTGCATTTTGCCCGTCCAATAGATCTACACCATCTTGTGAACTACATTTTCCAAAATTTCCTTTTACAGTCCTTTTGAAATTATTATATATATCTAATTTCATATAAAATATTTCTATGGACATGTTTGGGCATACTGGATTCCTGGCATGTAGTATACATAAGACACAGACTAGACAGCAAACATCCATGTTATTGTCTGTAACACTGCTTAAAGAGATAGACTCACACACTTCCAAACACTGAGTATCCAAAAAGAAAGACCTCATATGATTAGATTGTCATGTTGCCAACAAAAGGTTCAGCCTTCTCACTAAGCTCAAAGAGTTAATTCACAGAAATGCTTAAGAAAGACCATGGAGTTCAAGCTAGGTCTACCTTATACTATGCATTATCTTAAAGAGGAAAATTGAAGTTCACACGAGTTTCGACTAGCACATAATATAGAGGGTATTTTCCCTTTCTGTAAAAGAGATAATGAACCATATTTAGGAATTTAATTAGCTAAACATAAGTTCTATTTTGGCTATATGATCTTTCCATTTACAAACAGCATTTAGTAAGCCACAGAGATTATATGGAGTACAATTCTAGTCTCCTTAACATCAGATTTCAAACTCCTATCAATTCAAAGACAAAGAGAAGTTTGTATGTTCACCAATCTCCCACACCTCCAATAATATCACATTGAGAAAATTCAGAGACAGAATTCGGATAGTTCTCTCACCCTTGCTTTACGGTGGACCCAACATTTTAGATACTGCAAAATTTTAAGGTCTTTATTTCAACTATTTGTTGTCTTTGTAAATCTGTCATAAAGATTTTTAAAATACCTCCCATTCATGAATTACAGTGGATCTAGCATTTTAGTCAATATATAATACGTCATCTCCCGTGGGTTTTAAAAAATGGCCCCCTGTTAGCACAACGTACCGGTGTAAATAGCAGAATACGAAAGAAGAAACATCATGGGGTCCTTTTCTTTCCTATAGTAAAAGTTGCAGCATTTTCACTACCCGCTCCAATGCATAAGGGGCCAGTAAATGCTGCTACATTCACCTCCAATAAATAAAATTATATACTAAAAACTATGCAATTAAGTACTTTCCAAATGCAGCCTGAGATACAATGGGATTTGAAATTTAAATTTCAGCTTTTATTGTCTACGTAGACCCTCTAAACACCGAAAAATGTCTACTGATGTCTGGGCAATGGTGCATGAGCATCCCTTTCTGGGTATAAATGGCATGGCTCAAATGGTCCCATAGTTTATGGATTCTAGTATTTAATTTAGGATGATGGGAAAGATTCTTCACTAAATGAGAGTTGAAATCCATACAAAAAGATTCATCATCTGCTAAGGGATTCTCTGGACTTTTGGCTCTATTCTGGCATTGCTCAACTCCTTTTGCTTGGTTTGAAGTGTTTCAAACTGGTGTGTTATCACAAGTTCGACTACGGACTTCCCACCATATACTACAATAGTGACCCCATTAAGTTTACCACGCCAACATGTGAACATGGCCATTGTATATAAAATTGATGTTTCTATATTTAGAAGAAAAACAGCTGACATATTCTCAGTGGTGCCCTTCCAAGAAAAAAAAATTTGTGCATTGGCAACAAGTTCTTGATGTGCAAAAACTCGTCAACTTAAAAGGGAATCTAAGAAATACTTCTGCCACAAGTTGTTGCAAATAATCTTCTGTGCTAAACATTGCTGTACTTAAAAAGGATCTTGCTATTTTAGTAATAAAAATAAATTTCTTTCATCAAAACTTATGTTAAACATCTCAGAAATACATCTGCCACAAGCTGTTGCAAATAATCCTATACTGCTCCGCATTGTTATCATGAAGGACTTTTTGACTGTTGTACTAATCAAAGTAAAGTTTTTCATCAAACCATATGTTAAACATTTACAATTAACAATTAAAAAGAAGTGCATTATTTCTTGTCATAATTTTAGTTTCACATCTGTGACTTTTTCTTTTGGAAGTTATTCATATCTATGAGTTGGGCTCAGAGCATATGTCCTGGCATTGTCTCATACATGATGAATATTTTTTTTCCTCTATATGAGTTGGCCTCAAAGAATATGTCCTAACATTGTCTCATGCATGATAAGTATTAAGTACTACTATCCACAAAAGCGGGCATTATGATCAGAGCATCCACGGTTTGAAATCCAAATCAGATTGATACACAACAATGTTGAGTGCCATAGGGTTAATCTATTTACTACATTTAATACTTTCACATGAAATGGGGATGCACAACCATCTCTGAGTTATTGTTGCAATAATACAACAATATTACATGAAACATGGATGTCAATACTCTGGCAATAAAACAATAACGTTACATGAATAAGGATGTCATTTTTTCACAAAAACATATAATGTTACAAGAAAAGAGGAAACACAACCAGCTCTGAACTGCACTTGTAATAACACAATAATGTTACAAGTAGACATCGGGATTCTTGCAGTGAATTAAATTTCTAAAGCTTCACCACTATACAAAATTGAATCCTTGGAACCCATAAGAATCAATATTAACAGGTGCACTACTCTTCAAAAGGAAAGCTTTCCTTCACCTTGGCCCAATGAAGCTCACTGTCCTGCTATTCCCGGAAGACCCCGATTGCGTAGATGGTATGTCCTGGTCCAATAATCCTGTATTTATGAATGGAGGTTGTGTGGGTAAAGGGATATTACAATTTGTATCTTTAAGCATTTGCACAACCAATGCCATCGATGGCCGTAACTCTGCCGATGCCTGTGTGCAAAGGAGCCCAATCTGGAGAACTCGGGAAACATCTTCTCTGCTATAGCCACCTTCCAGACTTGGATCAACGGCTTCATAAAGCCTGCACGATCTATAAAGGTCCCAGACCTGAAAAAGACATTAAATTACTAGCTACAACTTTTTCATACATTAGAATAAGGACCCCAATGAGAAGACATAAAAGTGTCCTTAACAATTTTTGTTTACATTGCTAGAGTGTACCAGTTGGAAAATTTACGAGCTCAATTGAGAACACTAATTTCCTAACCTTTGAAGTCTCAAAAGTTTTGAATTTAGAAGAAGACAATGCTTTTGTCTCCATTCCTATTTGAGTTTAGAGAATTACCACTTGCAGAACTGGACCAGTAGTTTGAGAATAGGAATTAACTCTCCTGCCACTGAGAATCTCGACAATCAGCACCCCGAAACTGTAAACATCTGCCTTCTCTGTCAGCTTTCCTCGAATGATATACTCGGGAGCCATGTAACCTCTGACAGACAAGAATTGGAGGGAAAAATCAGTTACAGAATTGATTGATTATTACCATAGAGGGAGGACTTACAATGGATGGGATGCATCTGCAAATACAGGTACAAAATTGTGCATAATAAATTACTTGCACTAAACAATAGTGACTCTATGAGATGCATGTAATGCTCAAATAGTATAGAGTAGTTCTTTTTGGTATCTGGAAGCTTGACATTCCAACCAATTAAGATACAAGGCTAACAATCTCCACATTCAAATCCCATAGGGAACCACAGTTCACCCCACTAGGATAATTCAAACATAGTGAACCAACAAGAATAAAAAGCTAAAGAAAATTAGCAATAGGATGGACATATGATTATGACAGAACTTACAATGTTCCTGCAATTCCAGTGCTAATATGAGTCTTATCTTGTGGGAAACATCTCGCCAGCCCAAAGTCAGCAATTTTGGCATTAAAATTCTCATCAAGCAGTATGTTGCTCAGTTTGATATCCCTGTGAATGATCCTCAACTTTGATTCCTCATGAAGGTAAGCCAAGCCTTCAGCTACCCCAACAATGATTTCACATCTCGTATTCCAGCTTAACTTAGGGGAATTGCCATTATCTGCAAACAAAGTCAAATTCATTCACAAAAAATGGTTGTATAACAGAAATTTTTTTTTAAAATTGGCACGGATGGAAGTTTAGAGATGGGTAGATTGTAACCGAATAGGAAATTGTCAAGACTTTTGTTTGGCACGTATTCATAAACCAAGAGACTCTCTGGACCCGTGATGCTGCAACCCAACAGCTTAACAAGATTCTTGTGCTGAACATCACTAATCAAGTTCACTTCATTAAAGAATTCATCAACCCATTGCCTTGTATTGAAAAATAGCCTCTTTATGGCGACAACCTGCCCATTTGGTAAAATCCCCTGCTCAATGGAAGAAAAAGTAAAATATCTGTAAGAAATAGAAATAGTCTTCACTAATTATACTACCACTCCATCACAATGCAATGCATAAAAAAGTGGCAACATAATCATATATATACAAAAAAACTGCAGCAGAAAATAGCCATCCATATAGGCCACTAAGTTAATGATATCTTGTTCTGCTGAAAATCACACAAAGTGGTGCATATACACATCATCATCATCATAATCAGAGCTTTTAACTGGAGTGCCTATAAACATATAACTCAATAATACCTTGATGAATAAATGATAGAATCAACTTGCAAGAAGGAAATAGCATGGGAAAGATGAAAGAAAAAGTAATTTGGTGGCACACAAGTTATAATATATTCTTAGATAGTTAAAACATACATGGGTATAAAACTTGACTAGGTTTTCTCACAATTGGGGACACATATGAATCATACTATATATCTTCTTCTAAGGAAACTATGGGAGATGTATGAAGCCAATTGAATGCTAATCCTATTGGAGAAAAAGAGGAGGAAGAAGAATTATCGGAAACAAGAACATAATCACCATATGAAAAAGTAGGTTGTGTCACAAGAGGCTCACCTTATACACTGAACCATTACCACCTTGGCCTAGTTTATTTGAATTGTCAAAGTAATCTGTGGCCTCCTCTAGCATTTCATATTTGAAGTTTAGCTTAGACTTGTTTACAGTAGCTGCAAGTTGACCCAGTTGCTTCTGTTCTGAAACAAATAACTCATTTTAGTAACTTGGGCTCGAAGTGTGAGGATAATGATGAGTTAATAAAGCCAAGTTTCAAAAAAAATTCATTACCTCTCCTCCTCTTTTCTAGCTTGTTCTTCCCCTTGATAAAACCTAAAACTAGAAGCATAAAAACCGCACAACTACAGGAAACTATGGCTAATATAACAGGGAATCTCCGGTGTCCTGTCAAAGATCAACATAACATGTTAATGGAAACAGACCTGGGGTATAAGTATGGCAGATCTGAATGGGAAAATCAGATAATAAAGGAAAAAAAAATCGACTAATGAAAATTCCAGACTCGCTGATCCAATAAAACCAATGTTGATGGCTGCTGATTGCAGAATAACAAGTCCAAAACTTGAAGTCTAAAAGAATCATCATCATCATCATCATCATAGCCTTTTCCCAATTAATTGGGGTCGGCTATATGAATCCTAGTCCGCCATTCTGCTCCATTAAAGGTCATACCCTCAATGAGGCCATAAGTCCTTATATCTTTCCGAATTACTTGCAACCACGTCCTTTTGGGCCTACCCCTTGCCTTTTTAAGTCCTTCCACTTGAGCTAACTCATACCTCCAAACAGGTGTTGCACCTGTTTGGCGCCACACAGCCAGCCAACCGAAGTCTACGCACCCTCATCTCATCGCCTATTGGTGCCACACCTAAATTTTCTCAAATGGATCTATTTCGAATTCTATCTCTTCTTGTCTTGCCACTCATCCAGCTCAACATCCTCATCTCTGCTACACTCATTCTATAGGTATATCGTTTTTTGTCCGCCAACATTCAGCCCCATAGAGCAAAGCTGGTCTCACAACTGCCTTCTCGATCACCAATTGAAGCCTAAAAGAATGAATGATAAAAATCCATACAGATTCAACTCAAACTCAAATCATGATGTGTACTCTCCTACTTGAAGAGATACCAAGATGATCCACCCTCAAATGCAATGAAGGTAGCCACCCTAGGCCATCAGCCTTCTTGATCACCGATTGACCCCGTTGAGGTAAGTATTCAAGTCGAAATCAAATTACAGATTGCTTACCAAGAAAGACTCAAATTGAAAACTTTGAGCATCTCTCTC